CCCCGGCAGCCCCGGGCCAAGCGGTTCGTCTTCCCCCGAGGGGCAAAAGCTACCGTGAAGTCAGCCCCCAAATCTGACGCAAAGCAGCTTCCAAAACCACAACCATCCCGTGTCTCATCTCCAAGTAACTCTCACAATACAGCTGCAGATCTGCTCACACACCGAGGAGGTCTTTAATCATGCTGCCCTCTACGATATTTTTAGGTTTCCTACTGTAAAGCTGACGAGTATGTCTCACAGGACAGCTTTGCTCTCGTTCTCCCTCTGCGCTTTGGGCTGCTGAAGAGAACACTAAAATCCTCTACCTTTGCACTACGGCTTCCACTGATGTCCCAAGCTTTCGTCGAGTCTGCTAAGAGCAGCACGTAGAAAAAGGGCTATTATCCCTGCCACTGAAGTTAAAAATATGCTCCAGTGAACTAAACATAACCGATGAAGAGTTTGTTCAAATATGTTGCACTGGAAACTTTTCCAATCTGTTTAGGTTTCTCACCAGCACGGGAAGCGCCTCCTCCATCGTTAGGAACAGAGTGCCCTCTGCTGAAACTAGCCTGACGGAGGAGACGGCCCAAGGCGAGGCCGGGGCCGGAGAGCAGCCACCCCGAGGGAGAGCCGCGGAGCCGGCGGGCTGCAGCGCGAAGGCTCCGGCTCTCCGGGACATCCCCGGCGTGGCACAGCCACCCGCGCCGCGGGTCTGCCCCCTCCATCCCGGCGCAAGGCTCGCACTGCTCTGCCTGCAGGTTCCCCCTGGCCGCTGCGGCAAGCTGCTCTTTCCAGTCTGCACGTTACCACGATAATAAGCTGTGTGACAGGCAAGAGCACCGCCAAGGACCTGATCTTTTCTTTTTCTAACACTGGTCAGCTGAAAGTATATCAGCTTTCTGGGAAGCTTTGCTTTCCATCCGTTTCAGTTGCTACAGTTACTTAAACAACCACACAGTCCTTTAACTATGACTTCAGTTACACTCCTGCAATTTGTTATCTTCAAAACAGATACACAGGTGCAGTCAGCATATACTTCAGACTTGATCACAACTGGTTTTAAAGCCAGAGTTTAGCCATTAGATCAACTGATGCAGGAAATCAGTTTTCCTGTCCCAAAACTACGGCCGGTAGTACTACAGGAACAAAACCAAAAGATGTTCACAAGTACAGAATGAAGCTGGCCCTCAAGACCTGCCATCCAGTTAGGCACATACACAGTCTGTACCACCCCTATTTAGAATATCGCCTCTCAAAACTATTTACCCCTCAACGGTGAAGCAGTCCCCTGACTCCCTGAAGCAAAAGCTGCAGAGCAGGCTATTAATTTGTTTGCCAGATGGGCACATTTAGACAAAATTGCTCTGGCTATGTTCCTAGCACCAGTATTAGCCATAGATTACATTGAAAGGTTTGGCCCTAACATTCCAATAGCATTTTCCAACTTTGAATGCTGGTCAGCATTTCTTTGTTTTTCCCTTTTTCAGTGCTACTCATCTCTGTGTTCTCTACTTTCTCCTCCCAGCTTACTCTGCTACCTTCCTCCAATGCTGCTCCTGGTCATTTGCTTCAGATCGCTCGGCTGTGTGCATCCCTAACCATAAAGAATAATCAAACATCAAGTGTGTGAGTCTTCGAAAAATTTGCTCATCTCCTGCAATAAATTTGAGAATAGTGGTTAGACAGCTCACATCAGATTCACTGACTTAAATGAGGCTGCTGCTGTGTCACACTCTTCATTGCTTGCATGATCTGGATCTTAAGTTACAGGCCCTATGTCGGCCTTTATACAGCATGTAAGAAAACAGAGGTAAGCACCTGCAAGCATTACACCCCAGGCAGATTTCAGAACCAGCGTTATAATACATAATGCAAGTACCTTGTTGTACCTACCTAGTAAAATAGCAATTGGCAATGTCTTGCCCAAGGTACTGAAATGACAGTGGTGTTAATCTCATTGTCCCCCACCATCCGTGGTCTGGTTTTGCTTTGATTACATCGAAATCATCCTTTTCGTGAAAATGAGCACCCAGGAAATAACAGTATTTGAAGCATAAAAATAGCCTAGGCCTACTGCTGGGAACTGTACAGGGTTTTGAACAGCTTTTAACAGGGCATTTTCCTATGTGAATCTCATTCTCATTGAGTGTTGATTTGTTGCCTCCTTTACCCAATTTAATTTCTTCACCTCAGCCTCATTCCACATCCCTGCCACTTTACTCTTTTCTCTCTAGACTTCCAGTGAACCTGGAAGCTTCAGGATTTTCACTCCTGTTGGAGATCTGCATAACCCCTTCTGCTGAGCCAAGCAAAAGCCAAAAGAAACTCAGGTGTCCAGGCAAGATCTGTTTGACAACAACCACTTCAAAATTCACAGCACCTGCAGCTCCGTGGTAGACTCCTTCAATATGCACCCTGAAGTTAAAGGCCACAAACTTAGAGGTCCTGAAAGCCTAATTTTCATCCCTGGAGAAGTTTGTCAGGAATTCTGCAAAAACTAATTGACCATTCAAGTTTAAAAGAAATTGTCGTTTTCTAAGGAAACGGTTAATTTTCCTTCTGCTCACTCTTGTCTGTATGGATTATAAACTCTTCAAGGCAGGAACTATTGCTCTTTGACTATTACACTATGTTTGCAGAATCCCTGGTCCAGGGTCAAGGCCTTTAGGTATTACCTCATTAGCACTTTTACCACAGAGTCTTCCAATTCCCCCTCCTCACACCACGTTAGTTTGGCAGAGTTGGTGTAAGGTATTGAATGGGAAAGAACAGTGATGCTCTTAACACTCGGAGTTCACGTGCATGATTCCTGCATTTGTCTCTTGTTATTCGCCATGCTTTATTACAAATATGCTTTTCTTTTGCTGCTCTCTAAAATACGCATCATTTAAATGACATTAAATATGACAGCTGTAAAGCCCTCACTGTTCATAAAATTGGGAAATATGGACATTTGCACTTATTTCATTGAACACATAATCATGACCTTGTCCATCTGTACAGCTGGCATGGTCTCTCGTGAGGAAGCTGGTTGG